CGCTGCCAAGGTACATGCATGGGTGAAAATATTGGCCAAGGCTAGGCAAAGTGAAAGGGAAAGAGAAAGGGGGTGGCCCCAATCATTTTTGTCCTATACGGACACACATTCTAGAAATGTCTAGCACATGGTGCTATATAACCTTGTGCTACTGAGAAGAAATTTCTAGCCGTTGTTCGATCGGCGGCTCAGGTGAAAAAAAAGGCACATATGCTCCGCCACTGGAGTGCAAGTTAAAAGAAAAGATGTTATTCAATATTACCTGACAATAAAATTATTAGACTGTAATAACTAACCCTGCAAAACGTTTACCATGGTACACACACGCTTTACAAATAGGGTTTTACAAATAATTTATCGCCTAAACCTAAACCTATCTGGACAATGGTCTTTCAGTTACACCTCTAGGCGTAGCTGTGATGTTCTCAGCTCTCAAAAACTTGGGGCAAAAACCAGTGGCCAGCAGTGAGCAGTGACGTTAGGAACGTCACAAGGTAAGGGCTGCTTGCCTCGTTCTCAAAATTTACGGTATAAAAAAAACCTGTTCACATCAGGTTTTTTTGTCAAAGGGAAGGGATGGCTTCTAACAAAATCGGCTGCGAAACAGCTACAAAGCAGCTACAAAACAAAGCTGGAGGAGTGTGAATGGTAGTTCTCCAAAATGGCTTTCCACGCCGGAGGTTAAAATCCCATTCGAAGATGGACGAGGTAGACCCAAATCAAAACAACTACGTAAGGTACAAAATAAAAGGGTACTACTCCATAAACTGGTATTTGGGGCGTTAATATCCCAAAACTGGGAGTTAACGAAAAAACGCCGACACAATTTCCGCAGAAAAGTAAAATACAAAATGGTGCTGGACCGTCTGCGCACGCAACCCCGTAAAAGAAGGTTGAATAAGTGGCCCTGAAGAAGGCACGTTCGACAGAACATCAAAAGGAACAGATAAAAGCCGGTAAATAAGGTATCTTGATAGTAAAGCCAATTTTAACAGAATTAAGGTATCTTGATAAGAAGGTAAACATTCATATACGGCTAGTACGTGTAAAAATCACAGGATGGCGCGCTGGTTGCCTATGGACAGACTGTAGGCAGAAACAAATCTGTCTACGAGACACCAACAATATTTTATGAGGAAATTTCTCAGATGGAAGAAAGATTTCAATACAATACTGAGTCGCTGAGAGTCCGCAAAGTTGGGGTTTTCCTTTACACGATGTGTAGATCTTGAAAACATAAGCAATTTTTCTTAGTACCATATACACCAATGTCTTAAGGGAACCGAGATAAAGGGCTCTGCAACATCAAAAATATCTGAATACCGCCCTGTAGCCGCGACATCACGGAGTGGTACAATGTCACTGGCTCAACGACAGAACTGGGTCGGGGGTCGAGGTCAGTGTGTCAGGTCAGTATGCAACCTTCAACCGATGGTTACGGTCACACGAGGTAATCGCGTAGACGAGAATCCCTCAACAAGCACTAGAGACGTGGCTAGTGAAGTGCAAGTATCAAAAACTAAAGTGTGGCAAACGCTGCGTGAAGAGGGGCTGTATCCGTTTCACGTCAAACGTGTACAAGCCCTTCAACCTGACGATTTTCCAGCAAGAGTGCGGTTTTGTGAGTGGTTCAACATGACTATAATCCGGATTTTTGAAGTGCATATTGGTGACAGACGAATCTAGGTTCGCGCGTAATGGGGTGAATAACTTCCGCAACACTCATGTTTGATCAGTAGAAAATCTGCACGCTGTCCGTCGGGCACATTATCAACAAACATTTTCGGTGAATGTTTGGGCTGGCATGGTGCGTCTGCTCGGTAGCGCATCAGCTGATTTCATTTTCTGTTGGAGCGGTATGATTTCGGGCAGAGACGTACTTAGCCCTTCTCGTCAACTGGAGAGTGAGTACTTTTTCCTTTATTTTTTTTACTTGGTCGCCCACATTACCTTTGTTAGTTCAAGGGTAGTTGTTTCTGAAAAGGAAAACCCCAACTTTGCGGACACCCTGTATAATACGTGAGAAATTATACAATCAATAAACTATGGAATTTGATAAAAGAAAATCATTAACAAGGTCTTGGTCTAGAAATCGGTACTTATTAATAAAGAGAAATTCAAGTTGCTGGTAAGTGATCAAAATAGTAAAAATAAAGGTTACGTGACAATGTTTGCCAAAAAGTATGGCCACACACGAATTGTACAGCTGAGTTTATATGCCGGTAGTAACTTTTAAATACGAAATTTCGATTATCTTTTGTCTTACCTTCTATGTTAGAGCAAGCTAGAGTTCCGTAACATTTACAAAGCATGGACGGTAGATTGCAAACAGGCTAAGTTCTAATAGTTTATTATAGCTCCCAAGCAAGCATTTATTCAATTTTCAGGTTCATAGAGAACGATGTGGAATCAAACGACAGTTTCGAGCGGTTTGTCCACACATTACTGGCGTGAAATGACCTATCAATTCCAGTACAGGGTGTCCGCAAAGTTGGTTTTCCTTTACACGACGTGTAGATCTTGAAAACATAAGCAATTCTTCTTAGTACCATATACACCAATGTCTTAAGGGAACCGAGATAAAGGGCTCTGCAACATCAAACATATCTGAATACCGTCCTGTAGCCGCGACATCACCGACTGGTACAAGGTCACTGGCTCAACCCGACGACAGAACTGGGTCGGGGTCAGTGTGTCAGGTCAGTATGCAACCTTTAACCGACGGTTACGGTCACGCGTGTAGAGGTCATCGCGTAGACGAGAATCCCTCAACAAGCACTAGAGACGTGGCTAGAGAAGTGCAAGTATCAAAAACTAAAGTGTGACAAACGCTGCGTGAAGAGGGGCTGTATCCGTTCAACGTCCAACGTGTACAAACCCTTCAACCTGACGATTTTCCAGCAAGAGTGCGGTTTTGTGAGTGGTTGTTGCATCAACATGACAATAATCCGGACTTTTTGAAGTGCATATAAAGACAAATCTACGTTCACGCGTAATGGGGTAAATAACTTTCGCAACACTCATGTTTGGTCAGTAGAAAATCCGCACGCTGTCCGTCGGGCACATTTTCAACAAATATTTTCGGTGAATGTTTGGGCTGGCATGGTGAACGGTATGCTCATTGGACCATTTATTCTCACAAATCGATTGGACGGGATGCAATACCTAGACTTTTTACACAACATTTTGCCTTCCTTGTTAGAAGATGTGCCATTGAGTGTAAGACAATCAATGTGGTTTCTGCGTCTGCTTGGTAGCACATCAGCTGATTTCATTTTCTATTGGAGCGGTATGATTTCGGGCAGAGACGTACTTAGCCCTTCTCGTCAACTGGAGAGCGAGTACTTTTTCCTTTATTTTTTTTTTACTTGGTCGCCCTCGTTTCACTACACATTACCTTTGTTATTTCAAGGGTAGTTGTTTCTGAATAATGAAGGAGCAGCACTCACCGTTTGTGCATTGAGAATATCTCGTTATTACCGCGAAAAAATTGGCAGTTTGAAAATTATGAATACCCACATAAGCAGAATCTGTCATTACACTACAGCGGACAAGTGCACTTGAGTTACAGGGATAAATTTTAGCTTCTGCGATCATTGCTGCGATATTTGTCATTCGCGCACTAACTTGATTAACATATGTGTGAACCCACATAAGCAGAATCTGTCATTACACTACAGCGGACAGGTGCACTTGAGTTACAGGGATACATTTTAGCTTCTGCGATCGGAGCTGCGATATTTGTCATTCGCGCACTAACTTGATTAACATATGTGTGAACAAACCCAGCGGCAGATTGTCGCTTCTCTTCTCTTTGCTGAGAGTTCAAATTGTCAGCTGGCAGTGTTATTGAACGTACGAGAATATATAAGAATGAAACATGCATTTACTCTATTATCCATACTCCAATGAAAACAGCTCCAAAGGTTAATTGCACATTCTGAATTACGAATATGTCATGCGAATTGTCACGCATACAGTGAAATTCATTTCCGTTTTTGCGTACGAGAGAGCGATGCGTACAACACCGTGCAATACCTATGTTAGAAAGAGTGAGCCCTATAAACATAGGGGTAGGGTAGGAGGGGGGACTGGTTGGCGCGGAGTGCGGTTGTAACTCACTGTGTCGCCAAACGTTGCCACATTTTCATTGAACTATGATGCATGATGGAAATAATCTTCAGTTTGTTTTCTACGCCAAAAAATGGTTTTAATAGTATTCTTTAGTCGATTTGGAATTTATTCTGGATCAGTCTTAACGGTTCTCCTATCTGAAGTGGAAATGAAACTTCCGGATCGCCACATTCTGTAACGTTGCGTCATTGGTTTGCCAACACCGCATATCGGTACATCCCAGTGCAAGGTTTTCACCTTCATAAATCATGATAACTCAGGATATCAGTGTTTTTCCCAACAAGTAATCATTTGAACATCGGTATTATGCCAACCACTCTCGTTAACTCTTTCACAATAAGCGGTGTATTCAATATTTTCATACATACCTCCAAGTGAAGTGTTTCCAAACAGTCGGTGCCAATTGCGAAATGAAATGAAACAAGTTGTTTATGATATATTAAAACCCAGATACCCCTACCGTCCGTTATAATAATCACCTAATATTTCGCTTCAAATTTGAAACTCTGTCACTTCGCGTTAGATGGCGTTGGGTTATTCGCTGTTAGAAACACGTGTTTAAGCGAAGTTTATTGTTCTAACCTCCTAAAGGGAGAGTTCTGTATGCGAGAAAGTGTTTGGAATAACAGGTGCTTAGTTTGTTGTGAACAATCGATAATTATAGGTGAGTATACTGATAAACTGTTCATATTATTTTTCCATCTTGTGAATAAGTAATTTTAGAAAACATCAATCTTTATAATTGTAAACAAATAAGATAAAAATTTGCATCTCACCGGCAAAAATATAACCTCAAATACCGATGTCCGTTTTAACGGACAGTAGGAAAATCCGGTATTATTCGATTTTTTTTCTTATATTTGCAGTTATTGGAACTATTGGAAGCGGCCCTTGAAACTTCATGAACTCATGGCAGAAACTAAAAACATTGATGACGATGTGTTGATTCCTGATACTATTGCCGCTCTACCGCCAGTTAACGCAAATGAATATAACACTGATGAGGATTCCGGCGACGAAAATGAAGTGGATATAAACAACCTCCCTGGAAGTCAGCTGATGATAGAAGTTGAGGTTGTATTTGAAAACAAGGGATCAAACCAAACTACAGTTGAGAGTGATTTTGATAGCGACGATGACCTACCTTTGTCTACCTTTCTTAGGAAAAAACGACCAAAATTATCTAAACCAAATTACTCTTGGAAAAAAGGTGACATCAACCAAGATTTTCCAGAATGGGTAAACGGAATGGGCATGGTGTATTACTGCTCTCTGGATACAACTCATTTCCTCGACGGTCAATGTATTAGGAAAATAACAATGACGCAGGAAATAAGATAGCCTATTCGGCGCTTTCTCGAGATCGATTTAGCTTTATAATGCCGAATTTGCACCTGAATGATAACAACAATCTTGAAAATACCGATAAGTTTTCGAAACTGAGGCCCTTGTTTTCTACTCTGAATGAGAAATTTCAGTCATTTGCACCCCTTGAAGAGTGCCATAGCGTGGACGAGTCGATGGTACCCTATTACGGCGGTCATGGATCAAAACAGTTCATCCGAGGAAAGCCCATTCGTTGGGGTTATAAGGTATGGGTGGGAACAACTAAAAATGGGCACATTGAATGGTTTGAGCCGTATCAAGGGTCCACAACTATTATTTCTGAAAAATATCGTCCTCTTGGCTTAGGGGCTAGTGTCGTACTTCAGTTTGCTGATATTATTCAGTCTCAATGAGAAAAAGCTCCTTTCCATATCTTTTGTGACAATTTTTTTACGTCATTACCTCTGTTGGCTGAGCGGACCTCCAGGGGGCTCAAATGCACAGGAACTCTGCGAGAAAACAGACTATCAGATTGCCTTCTTGAAAAATCCAGTATGTTCAAGAAAAAATCCCGTGGTAGTTTTGATTATCTTTTGGAGGAGAACCAAAATAATATTGTATGTAAATGGAATGACAATAGTGTTGTTACAATCGCCTCAAATGTAACATCTCCTTTTCCGACACAGCAAGTCAAACGCTTCTCTCAGAAAGAAAAGAAAATGATACATGTTGAGCAGCCATATTTGATCACACAATACAACGAAAACATGGGCGGTATTGATAGGGCTGACCAAAATATAAGCCTTTATCGCGTAGGAATCAGGGGAAAGAAGTGGTATTTTTGCTTGTTTTCACATGCTCTGGATATGGCAGAACAAAACGCATGGCAACTTCATGAACATTCTGGCGGAAAAATGGACCATTTGCAGTTCAGGAGGTACGTTGCTGCGGGATTATTAGAAACTTATAAGAAAGAAACAAAACGGGGGCCATCTAAACCAGGCAAATACCTGCATTATGAGTCCAGATATGATCGGATGGATCATCTTGTGAATTATCAGGAAAAGCAAACCCGCTGCGCATTTTGCCACAAACAAGCAGCATTCAGATGCCAGTAGTGTGATGTTGCACTTTATCCAAAAATGTGTTTTTTAAGTTACCATACTAAAAACTAATCTATTATTATTGGTTTAAAAATTTTTTTTCGTTTCTAAATAAAGTTTTATGAGTTCATAAGAATATTGAGTTTTAGTACTTTATATTGCTACCGTACGTTTAAACCGACGGCTTTTACAGAAAAACCTAAAAGCGGAACTTAAAAATTTTACTAGGAAAATATGTTTATATTAACCCAATTAATAGGTTTACAAAAGTATATAACAAAAAACAAATATTAAGAGTTTCAGGGGTATCTGGGTTAACGAGATTCTGTTTGTATTTGAAGTTCTACTGTATGAGATTTTGTGTCTTTTGTCCACCATGGGTTCGCACAGTAGTTTTTTGAATTTTAGTAGCACTCACAGCTACTGCAAGTCAACATGGAGTAAGTTATAGGTAATTCCAGCTTCACATTTTTTCGGAAACAAAAAACGTTATCTGTTTAAGTTACGCGAACTGATTACTTGTTGAAAAAAAAAACGTTAATAGCAGTCCACCGTCGATGAATCCATAGAGGTGGAAACCTTGCGTTGACATGTTCCAAGATGCAATGTTGTCAAGCCAATGACGCAGTGACGCAGAATTTGTGGCGATGCTGAACATTCACTGCCATATGAAATCGAAGACCCCTTAAGACTTACTCTTTTTTACACCAAAGCAGCCGCGCAGGTAGTAGACTAAATGCCAAGACACTGCGGCTGCTATGACGATCCCAAAGAAGTTTTTTTAATAGGATTTTTGAACTGCCTAAGGTTAGTAGAACTAGGAAAAGCCTTCGCTTGTAGATTGTTACACAATATCGACACTCTAAAGACTAAGAAGTGGTCATGTCGGCCAGTTCTGGATGTACGGAAGTTCAACACGGTAAGGATGGAGATGGAGGAGAGCTCTGAGAAGTAAAGCATGTTGGTGTAGCGGTACAAGAGAGCTAGATCTCTTATGGCTCGCCGGCGCGGAAGGGTCCCGAGACTGTCAAATAAGAGTCATCGATCACTCTGGAGAGTATCGAGCATGAATAATGTAGTCGAGGCGGCAGCACCCCAAATGTATGAGCAGTACTTGAGTCGGTTACAATCGTTCTATCCTGAAACGTAAGTGGTGGACGGCTACTCTGTGAGAAGTTCCTTTCAATTAGCTTGGTCAGCGTCCAGAAAGACCCACTGGGAATTGATTCTGAACCGATAGGACACAATTAGCGATTCTAAAAATCTGTAAACTCTAAACAAAACCATTATTTTGGCGTAGAAAACAAACTGAAACCCAAAAAGGTAAGTGAATTTTACTGCAGATTCGTAGATAAAGACCCTGCGCAAGCATAGCCTTGTTTGTGCGACGCCGTCTCGCGTTGGGGTCTCCTGACGCTGTCATAGCACAGAACGGCGCCTTCAGATATACAGGGTGGGCCGAGAATTCGTTAACATTTAAATATAATACACCACGCAAACAGACGCCGCACGAAGTGCGGGGATGGGGCTAGTCGCTAGCTCGTTTCTTGGAAATTCAGTCGCAATGGATCGCTTCACGGGATTGCAACGCGCTTACTGAGTGAAACAATTTTATTTAAACAACAGTTCGCTCATTACTGTGAGACGCTTATTTCCCGTTGAATACAATTTACACGACTTAAGTCAGTGTCCGAGTGCTCCTTTGATAAAGAAATATGTGAAGAAGTGGAATGTTGAAGCAAACCGGCGGCCCACGGACTGCTCGGGGCGAAGAGAACGTGCAGCAAGATTCCGCTTCTGTTCAACGTGATCCAGATTTATCGACACGCAAACGTTTGGCTGAATTAGGATTATCCCGCACATCATTACGCCGTATTTTGAGATTAGGTTTGAAATTACATCTATATAAGATCCAGATAGTGCAGGAACAAAAACCTAGCGATTTAAATTTGCGCAAGTCGTATGCCGAAACGATGTTAGCTCGATTCAGTAATTTTGACAATCTCTTATTTTCTGACGGAGCGCATTTCCACATCAACTGATATGTGAATAAACAGAATTGCAGGTACTGGAGCAGCGAAAATCCCACGAGAAGCCACTTTACTCTCCTAAAGTAACTGTATGGGCTGCAATTTCAGCAAAAGGAATCATTGGCCCCTACTTCTTTGAAGATTCTCGCGGCCATTCAGTTACTGTTAATTCTGCTGAGTATGTGAAAATGTTACGGCAGTTCTTGGCACCAATTTGCTGGCTATAATCGTAGCACATGGTTTCAACAAGATGGAGCCACGTGTCACACATCCAACGAGTCCCTGCCGGTGGTCAAAGAAATGTTTCCGGAAAAGCTCATTTCCAGACGAGGCGATATCCCATCGTTAGCCAGAAGTCCAGATCTATCCCCACCAGACTTTTTTTAAGGGGTTACTTAAAGAGTCGTGTCTACATCAATAAACCAAGCATACTCCGTCAACTAAAATAAAACATCAACGGAGATATGTCGGCGATCTCGCAGTCTTTATGCCGACGAGTATTCGAAAACTTCGGTACACGTTTAGAAGAGTGCAAAAATCGTAACATATAATTTTCAAGAAATGAATTCCAACTAATTAGCTATCTTGTGAATAAACAATTTTTTAAATACGTCAAATGTTTTTTCTCATACGATTTTTTCAAATGTTAACTAATTCATGGTCCACCCTGTATAAATTGTTCACACTAGCTACTGAGCATTCGCACTGCCAATCTGAACTTACCACCAAAAGGGCATTTCTTCGAAACCAGGAAGTAGACTAACAAAAAAATAAGAGCATTTATTGAGTACTCCTCCCGTTCACTTGCAATGATTGGCCGCTGGAAATGAATATTCCAATAACATATGCAACTATAATCAAGCCATTACGATCGTATGAGGCCAGACTACATGTATATGTCTCGGCAATATTGTTCGCAAGATGTATACACATACATATATGTGACAATTTCTCATCAGAAGGTCTACAAGCTCCTGCAAAAATAACTAGTATGATTCTGATCGCTTAGAATTTGATATCAATATATGAAAGTATACCGAAAATGTCAAACATGAGTACCATGTAGCTATATAGCCAGCCAATACTAAAAATAATACCACATGTTGCTAGCTACGCTATTGCAGCTAGATATTGCAGAAGAAATATTGCCCAATTAGAAGAGCATAATTGTTACCATTCATCAGTTAAGGATCATATGCTGTATGTGCTTTCCTTTGTCTATCTCTGTATTGTACTGATGATTGCAAAAAACGTCAAACGTCAACAAAGTGTTACTCATAAGTTGGACAGATCATTTTTGGAACGCATCAACTGTTGAATGCGTAGCCGGGGCAGCAGCGCATTTTTTTAAAGTTCTCAGATCAGATAAAAATGGTCCATGAAGATTAACCTAATCCCTAGAGAAACTATTATGCATCTGTACTTTAAGTTTTATTCAAGACTGTCGTTCGGATGCAGTTAGTCAAGCGTAAGTCCAGTACAAATAACGACATTCAGTATGCAGATTAGCAGCATCATAGGCTGTAATTCACGCTGCACAACAGCAGCAGCAAAGTTTTCTGGCAACTCTTCCCAAGTTCCCACATTAGAAAAATTTATAGCGGCTAATGGCTCGGAAAGCCACGATGTGGGCACGAATACTAAGTCAGCTCATTAGTAATGTTGCCAAAGGAATTTATGAAACGTGACCGTTGCTTTGCAATAACGATTCCATTCTGCCTTTAGGACGAAGCGAGATATATAAGAAATGTAGAAACGCCTGTTTCCAGACCTTGGACTAGTCGAGTCCCGCCTATAATGGGAACATCAACCCTCTCAAGTGCCTTCTCAACTGTTTGCTTGGATTATCCCGTGTGTTTATGTCTTTATATATTATGGTGGTAGGAAATTAAATGCTAGTCTTATGAAGTCTTGAGGATTCCTTTGAGAACCTTGGTCAAGATAGGCGCATCAATACGCAATATATATATATACTAAGTGACATATAAATCCGAACACCCAGTTTGAATGGTTTTATTTTAATAAAATTTTGTATAAGTACTTAATGAAGCATAATAAGTAAATGATAAAAATTTCAAAATGATTGCACTGCTTTAAAGCCCTTTGACCTTTAATAATGTGTGGATGCACCCTGATGTGCTACGCATTCTCCAACGCGCCTAGGCATGCTTCTGATCAGGTGGTCAATGTCCTCCTGTGGTATCTCATTCCAGGCAACCACCAACTCCTCTCGAAGTGCTTCTAGAGTCTGAGGAGGACGTTGCAAATTGAGCAATCTCCTACCCATCATATCCCACACGTGCTCAATTGGGGATAAGTCGGGAGATCTTGGTGGCCATGGTAACAATGTGACATCATTATGTTGAAAGAAGTCTATTGTGACTCTTGCAACATGTGGTCGGGCATTATCTTGTTGGAAAGTTGGATCTGCCAGGGTGTCAAGATAGGGTAAAAGATGGGGTTCTAGAACTTCGTGGATATAACGCTGCACGTTCATGTTACCTCTGACGAAGATTAAAGGTGACCTGGAACCATAAGCTATAGCACCCCAAACCATAACTCCAACAGTGTGATGAACATGTATTTCAACAAAAAACTGTGGATTCCTCCTTTCACCACGTCGCCTTCTAACCCTGGCACGACCATCGTGCATGCCTAAACAAAATCGAGACTCGTCACTAAAGACAATACTGTTCCATTCCTGATACCAGAGTGACCGTTGTCTGCACCACCCAGTGTGGCCGGTATGAAAACAAGCCAAAACTTCTCATTCGTCGGTAAACACTTCGCATGCCAATAGGTCTTCCGTGTTCTGCAAACCATTCATTTGCAATGGACCTGGTACTGGAGAAACGGTCCCTTAAGGCCAATAATCTTAGGCGGCGATCTTCACGGTCTGTTGTTCTACGGCGGCGTCCAGTGCCCCTTGCTCTTTGCGTACGGCCTTCCCGAAGCCATGCCTGACAACACCTAACCACACTTCTTTGCACTCTAACTGCAATTGCCCGAAAAGAAAGTCCAG